ACCCTATAGTCACTTTATCAACCATAGAGCTAGAATTTGTTGCTGCATGTGCATGTGCATGTAATTTGTTTGGATGAGAAGAATACTCAAGGAGATCGGTTCTTTACAGACAGAAGGAACCAAACTTATGTGTTATAATGCTTCAACCATTAAGCTATCAAAAAACTCAGTTCTACATGGTTGTTCTAAACACATAAGCGTGAGATTTTATTTTCTTAGAGATCTTACAAAAGAAGGCACTGTCAACTTAGTGTTTTGTGGTACTCGAGATCAACTTGTTAATTTGTTGACAAACCCTCTCAAGTTGGAAGCATTTTAGAAACTGCGTATAGAGCTTGATGTATGTGATATGTTGGACTTAAACGGTAACCATTCAGATTTTCCATTTTTTCTTATATTGTTAAGATTTTGTTTTTATTTCCATATATGACAGATATTATGTTGCAGCAATTATTCCCGCCGAAAATATGCATGATTTTTGACAAGTTATTACCTTAATAGAAATTTTATAAAACCCTTATATTCCTATATTCAACCATTCTCTTTCCTTGAAAACGAATTTTTCTCTCCAAACTTATTTCTGTTTTCTCTCTTACTTGCTTATATAACGTCTCTTTCAAAAATCTCTCTTTCTAAAATCTCTCTCTGCCCTTGTTTTTTAAAACCTTTTTTTAAGCAAGAACAAATTGGCTTAACTCACTTGTCGTTGGAGAGTGAGTGCCGCACAATCGCTAGTCCGCTGCCTTCAAAAGTCCGATTGTGTCAAGTGGTATCAGAGCTTTGTTAGCTCCGTGACATAGTAAAGACCGAAAACATGTCGGTGACAAAGTCGACACCTAAAGCACAAGCCGACTAGCTTACGCTAATAGAGGCGGAAATGTTGTTCCTTAAAGAAGTTCCTGACACCCTCCGCTTCCTGGAAGCATGGGTGACCGAATTGAGTGGGAAAGTCTTAGAAATCGACGCAATGGGCAACCGCCTGGAGGGGTTGTCAATCGCAGAACTGATGTTTCAAGTGACCTCGCTCGAAGAAAGAGTTGCTCCTACGAGCAGCCCAAAACCGTCTGGTAGTCCGAATAGCTCTGTCGCGCACAAAGTGGGACGTGGCAAAGAGTTCGACGTGCTACAAAATACAATGATGAACTTGTTCAATGGATTAGCTGATGAATTCAGAGAGACAATCAACGACATCCAAGAAAGGATGGCCACCATGAGCACTCGAATTGAAGTGACAATGAAAGTCGTGGAGAACGTCACGGCTGGGCAAACTAATGCAGGATCCAACAAACTGAGATTCCCAGACCCTAGAGCCTTCAAAGGGAATCGGGACGCCAAGGAGTTGGAAAACTTCATCTTTGATGTCGAACAGTACTTCAAAGCCACAACGGCTTGTACCAACGATAAGAAGGTGACCGTAGCCTCAATGTATCTCCTAGACGATGCCAAACTTTGGAGGCATACGAAGGTGCAAGACATCGAGGATGGATTGTACACCATCGATTCGTGGGAAGACCTCAAGAAAGAGTTGAGGGACCAATTTCTCCCCAAAAACGCAGAACATATGGCAATGGAGAAATTAGTAGCCCTGAAATATACTGGAGGCATATGGGACTATGTCAGACAGTTCTCAACCCTTATGCTAGATATCAGGGGCACATTAGAGAAGGACAAGGTGTTCTTCTTTATAAATGGGTTACAACCGTGAGCCAAAACAAAGCTACATGAGAAAAAGGTCCAAACCCTAACTGTCGCAATGGCCTGCGTCGAGAGACTCCTAGACTATGGTGGTGTTAATATAAGACATGCGGAAGCAATTTGGATCTTAGACACTTTTAGAACATCATTTATAGTAAATAACTAGCATGTTCATAAGTATTAAAACTTAATGAGTTTGAATACTAACCTTTTGTAGTTCAAATTCCTTTTTCCTCACAAACCGGTTTTGAACCACCACTAGTGTCTTCTCCACTATCCTCCAGCCTTAGAACAGGATTGTGGAATCCAGTGAGTGACTAAACTTGAGAGGGATTTAGTATATATGAAGAGAGAGTTTGTGAGAATTTAATATTGTAATCTTATTTAAATATCTTAATCAAATATGTGTTGGAATTAATTGAGATTGACATTTGAATTAATATTAAATATTAATTAAATAGTTTAATTAATCATTTAATGTTACTTTAATTTGAAATTAATAATTCAAATTAATTGTTGAAGTAAAATGAAGAAACTCAAAATGTTGACTTCATTTAATGGAAAAATTTATGTTAGTGGAATTTTGAGGTGTCAAAAATTGGTTTAACCAAACTTGCATGTTTGCCAAATAAACCCCACAAATTTGAGTGGAATTTGCTTGTCACATAATCCCAAACATTTGAGTGGAATTTTGAGTGTCAAAATTTGGTAATCTCAAATTTGCATGAACATGCAAACATGACTTTATAAATAGAGTGATCATAAAACACCTCTCATAAACACTATCTTCATATATACAAAATCCTCCAAGTTTAGTCACTCACCGGATTCCACAATCTCGTTCTAAGGACGAAGGATAGTGGAGAAGACACTAGTGGTGGTTCGAAACCGGTTTGTGAGGAAAAAGGAATTTGAACTAGTGTTATATTAACACCACCATCATCATCTCTAGGGGAAGTAGTCCTATGCTTTTGAACAAACAATATGCATGAGGTCCCTCTAAATTCATCATAAGGTCTCTTCTGACACAACCCTCTAGTCTCATCTCTTTGTTACTCTAAGGTAACACATACTCGTGGATATTTATATTAATATCATTTTCACGCTCTTAAGGTTTTGTCCTATGTCGATCTAACGACATGATACAATATGGCACTCATCATCATATAGCATGCTCAATATGAAAAACATCATCATATTAAGGTAAACGTCACACAGTCATCATACTCATCATATTGCCACAAAGTGCATCAAACATATCAAGTACAACATTCATCAAAATATATATACTGCGCACATCATCAAGTATCGTAACCCACACATCATCATAACTCATATACCACATCACACTTCATATATCATCTTAACTCATACAATTTTTTTTTTTTTTTTTCTTTTCTTTTGATTTTGGTATTCTAATTACTCCTCCTTTCCAAATCTTTCCTTTATCTTATCCTTTAATTTTGTTAACATTTAAAATTCACTCATATCAACAAATAAATTTTCTTTCCAAATCTTTCCTTTCTTCTTTCCATCTTTTCTTTCTTATTTACGTGTTAATTTTTTTTCGATTCTTCTCTTTTCCTCTCGGTTTTGTATTTACTCCCTATCTTCCATTTTTCATCTATTCTGTAATTTTTTTATTCTCTTGACAAATATTTGCCTCATTCTAGTTATTTTCTAGAACCTAACCTCATGACCAAAAATCTAAATAACTAGCCAAGGAAACAATGGATCTAATTTTGAACAATTAGACAAAGGAAAAGGAAATCTGATTCTTACGGATTCCTTATAAGATAAATGAAAACGAGACCTGACTTACAGTAATAATAACAAAGCAAGATCTCTATCTCCAAAAATTAAATCTTAAATCTCCAGCTCTCCTTGTAAATCTTGTTGTTCATTTTTTTGGTTGTAGGAACCACCAAATGCATCCTTGATTTGTGAGTTAGTTGAGGAGAGATAGAGATGCATCTGTTATTCTAGATTGAGATTTTGATTGATGAGTTGGTTGAGGAGAGATAGTTTGGGAGAAGAAGAGGGGTTAGTGGAGAGTAGTTTAGGAAAAAATATTATTTTAATTATTTAATTATTTACTTATTATTATTATTATTAATTTTTTTTCCGTCTTACAAAAGTAAGAAAAAATGGTATTGCTGAAAATATGAACAAAATATTGAATGAGCTAGCAAGAAGTATAAGGATTTATTTTGGATTGCCAAAGATATTTTGAGCTAATATGGTGAATACACAACCTACTCAATCAATAGGGGGTCATCAATATCCTTGGAGTTCAAGTTGCCAAAAGGGGTATAGACAAGAAAATAACTTAAGTACTCTCCCTCGAGAACTTTTGGTTACATTGCATATGTTCATATTGATCAGAGAAGAGAGACAAACTTGACACTAAAACTGTGAAGTGCTACTTCATAGGCTATGGTTCTTATATTTCGGGTATAAGTTTCGAGATGATACAATTAGTAAAATCTTGTGACATTGTGACATGACATTTGATGAAAATGTTATGTACAAGGAAAAAGAGAAGAAAGGCCTGAGACAACGAAACAAGTGGGAGTTGCAGAAAAAATCACCCAAGGATATTGTAGCAGAAAGTCAAGAAACTCTTGAGATTGTTACTGAGGAACCAAAGGCGGAGCAATTGACATATGAATATATTTACACTATAAATAGAACAACAATAGACTAGATGTCTAGGCTTTAGAAGTTTGTTGTCGTTTCATCTATTAAGACTGAATACTTGGCACAAGTATAAACTAGAAAGAAGATGATATAGAAGAATTAGGCAAGAAGCAAGAGAAGATTCTTCTTACAGATAATCAGAGTGTCATATAGTTGGTAAATAACTTGGTTATCACTCAAAGACAACATATTAGAAGACGATACCATTTCACTCGCAGGTGAATAGAAAGTAATGTGTTCGGAGAAAATAGAGATTGCAATCCAACATACATGTTGACAAAATATGCTAACGTTGGGAAGTTGAGATGGTGCAAAACCTTAATTGGTCTAGTACGGTGAAGATATTGATGATAAAAAGAATCTTTTGAGAATGAAGTTTTTAGTTGACTAGATCAGTCTCGAAGGGAGAAAATCAATAGGTTATAGAGCATGATGCTTACTTATAACTTAATTACTGGACACTGTAAATAACTATATATGGTAAACGACACTCTAATATAATAAATGACTAATAATGTTTGAAGTAACAAATTATTAACTCGCGAGCATGCAAAATTACATTTTTAAAAATCTTTGATTGCAAAATTATGATACTAGAAATGATATTAATAACTATACAAACTTTAACCTTAAAATGCTTGGAGAACTAAGATGGTTGACATTGATTTTGCAAATGTATTATTCCTTCCTACAAAGAACGAAGCCTATAATAAACTCCAATGGCAGAGAAAATACAAAGTTGGATGATTCAAATGGCTTTGGGGTTTGTAGGCACATCATGATTATCCAAAATTATGATTGCCTCACTCAATCTTCTCCAATACTTCCAACCGGGCTTTTCTCTTCCACCCTTTCATCAATGCCACCAGGTTAACCAAACCAATAATTTGGCTCTTACTGTATTCCTGCAAAACACACGAGAATTTGCATTGGTTCGTGTCAGAAACTGTTCTTTTCTTTTTCCTTTTTTGAGGCGATTAATATCACAAACTCAATATATTTAATTTTCTGCAAGTTAATCGATAAATATTCCAAATTTCTCGGTTCAAGGAAATTTATTACTGTCTACCTAAGCGTGTTTGTAACGGCCTAGACCTACCACTGGCAGATATTATTCTCTTTGAGTTTTTCCTTTTGGGCTTCCCTTTTCAAGGCTTTTAAAACGCATCTACTAGGGAAAGGTTTCCACACCCTTGTAAAGAGGGTTTCGTTCTCCTCCCCAACCAATGTGGGATATCACAATATTGCAACGGGTTAAAACATATTCTCGACTAAGACGACAAATTCAAATCCCCTGAAGTAAAACAAAGGGATGGTTTCTTACCGGGTGAGCACGTGCCCAGTGTACATATTCGGTTTCTGGAAGATAGTATGCCTGTTTGATGGATGCATCATTAGTGATCTAAATAACACGCCTGAACAATTCTAGACAGTATATGATGGTCAATCAAGTTTGAAGCAAGCCACAACACAGTTCATTCTTTTCGATCACGATTTAAAGTCGCTCAGGTTTACCTTAATGAACGTTTCAACCATTTGTAACTTAGGCTTGACGTTCGCAGAAACAAAATGTTGCAAGCCATTGATTAAAACCTGAAAAAGAGTTCAATGGTATTTAAGTACATTTTTATCAAACGAGATAAAAGAGATGAAGAGGAAGGATAAGTGAAGCATTATACCTGAAGATCCAATGACATGAGAGCGCGCCCTTCATCTGAACATCTCTTTACTCGTGATATACCTTCGATAAGAGTTTCAGCGACAAGATCCAGTCCATACTCCAAGAGGAGGTTTTGAACCTACAAAGGTCAAACATACTGAGTTTCAGAAGCAATTAAGGTGATGGAAAGAGAAAACATTAGTCGATTGATAGTTAAGCAAAGATTATATTTCCCTTTAACCCGATCAGTACAGTCTACTCAGAATGTCTCCAAATCTGCCAGAAAACTTGAAATTATGTCTTTTCTTCTTTATTTTTTTTGATTGAACACATGATATGTAGTATGACGAATTTAGAAAGAACATATCTTTAACTTATTAAAAACAAAACACAGAAAATTTTACAAGATATGGAAGTTTAGCATCGTAGGCTGAGAGGCTATTCCTCCATGAATTGAATGGGAAAAAATATATCAGCAATTAAATAACTAAGAAACCAGAATCCATAAAGATGATGAATACAGCGTATCAACAGAGAATTCATACAACATAAAGCACAAGAATGGGAAAAAGAACTTGCAAACTTAATCTGCGTTGTAGTTCTGCAACTTATAATTTTAAAATTTAATATGGTAGGACCTATATAATTCGGCCCAATTGATTACCTCATTGCGAACTCCACTATGGACCAGCCTTGTTTTATAATGCTTGAATTCTCCCAATAACAAGTCAACGTACCTATACATAAAATTCATTTAAACGACGTTCTAATAGTAGTCAAGAACTCATAAGTTAATAAGAACAATAACAAACTTATAACATCCTAAGATGCTCAAATTCTGGTTTGTTGTCTGTTCTTCATATGCTAAAATAATGAAAATAAGAAACCCCACAAATTTCAAGTAGGACAAGAAAAAAGGAAAACATAATGAAATAAACAGTTCAAATGGAATAATTTTCCACATCACAGAAAAATATACTCCATTCTTACCAGTGTCACCTTTTTTGCATTGAAGAATTTAAAAAATGCGAACACAGTGGTTCATCCATCATTTTAACAAAATTCGGATTTCCTTTAATAGGTTGTCGATGAAGTAGCTCTCATCTAAAGCTCTTTCACTTGATATAAAAGTAACAGGTTGCTTTAACCATGTGCTAGGGAAACATATATGTATATATGTCTATGCTATGTGTATGTATATAGAAGATTAACATAGAACGCTAATGGCAAATAAAGTGGATATCCGGAGGGAACAAACCCATTATGCTCGAGTCCAAGCTCTTTAACTTCCCATTTTGCATTGGCTATCCGATCAACATAACTGTAAAAAGAGAACTTTTAACATTAAAAATCATTGCCATTCCATAAAACATTTTTACAGCCTCTGAAAAGGGAACTTGCTGCAATTATATATTATTATATTATTATAAGAAACGAGAAAACAATTTCATTGATAATATGAAATAGATGTGAAAAGAATATCCTATCCAAAAGATTACAAAGAACCTTTCCAGTTGGTCAAAAGTGTAGACAAACTATAATTACAAAAGGGATCACTCTGTGAAAGTAATAGAGGTGAGGAAAGATTGTGCATCTTGCTCCTTATCTGTGAAATTACGAGAGTTGCGTTTGAGCCAAGTGGAGAACAAAAAAGCCCGGATGAAATTCAGCGATATATTCATTCTTTCGTTTTACACAAGGTACCAACTTGGAGAAATGGACAGACACGGATGACGTCTTTCCAGCTTGTCTCGAGTTTTAATGCAAGAACGCCTTAGTTCTCAAATGAAAAATTCAACTTTTCTCAGATAGAGACCTACCCAACCAAACATCAGACCATAACCGGGTGCCCCTACCATTGCCAACTTTGCATGAAATGTTGGAGTAAATCAGGTCTTTGGTGTTCTGAATATACTTTCAAGGATCTTTTGCTGAATGTAAGAAAAAAATCCCAGGCTTCAGAACAAACTGTTGAGAGCCAAATTTAAACAATAACTCTCCTAAAAAAAACAGCTTTCTCCTTTGTGAAACCTCCAAATCCACTTTTCCAATAAGGATAAAATTTTCGGCTTTATGTCAATAATCCCTAGGCCACTTTCCTCTAATGGGCGTTTGATTTTGTCCCATCACCCGTTGGGGGAACCTCCCTGTTCTAAGATTCCTTTCCGCAAGAAGTTTCTAAGAACTCTCTCAATGGTTGCTGATACTTTTGAAGGAATAGGGCAAGGGATCGATAATAGATTGGAAGGTTGGCCAATGTTTCTTTTGTGTTTGTAGTTATTTTTTTGTTTGAATCTTCTTTTATTTTAAGGAATTGGTTAGTCGTCCAGTAACAAGTAACAGTAGTACATAGAATTCAATAAACGAAAGAGAACAAGGAATAGAATAATAATCAATATTCGTAATGCACGCATTATTGTTGTTATATTAGACTCAAAGGATCGTTATTCACCTAATTAGAAGAATGGTTTTAATATGGAAAGAATAAATGTAGAACCTAGTTTTGAGTGATCTGATCGTGCGATACTTTTTTCTTTTTATTCAAGATTTTATGGGAATGAACCCACTACAAGCTTGTATGAGAGTCAAACGACCTCCTTTAGAGATGTGTGAGTAACCCATGACTGAAGTCTTTTCTCAATCTTTTCAACAATGCGTAACCAAAAGAAATCAAACTTTGGGTTGCCATTCAAAGGAAAGCCCAAATAAATAGTGGGTCAGTTGCCAGTCATACACCCCCATTCTTTTTTTTTTTTTTTTTTTTTTTTTTTTTTTTTTTTTTTTTTT